GACACAGGCGGTTCCTATAGCATAAGAAGAGATCTCACAAACGGAGCCTATTGGATGATCACTCTGTGTGTCACACTCCAGCCAGTTTCTGATTGGCCAATTTTTGAATCTTATATGAACTTGTTGGTGGGAACTGCTAGGTTCTGACGAAGGGGGAATCGTCCCCGGAAATGCGTTAACCATGGCTGTCATGTTAGCAGAAGGGGGATTGATTTTATTGAAGGACCTGGCGTGGCTGACATCTGATGTCCATTCAGTGCAGATTCACCTCTGCACATTACAGGGTTTATTTTAACATCGGCAGCTTGTGAGTACCTGTTTTAACATTTTCACTCATTACAGTCTTCTATACTACAGAGTCACACTGTTTTTTTCTGTTTCCTTTATTGTAGAAACTCCTCTTACATTGGTGGTCATTGTAGAAACCCCTCTTACATTGGTGGTCAGTGTGGAATCCCTCCTTACATTGGTGGTCAGTGTGGAATCCCTCCTTACATTTGTGGTCAGTGTAGAATCCCTCCTTACATTGGTGGTCAGTGTGGAATCCCTCCTTACATTTGTGGTCAGTGTAGAATCCCTCCTTACATTGGTGGTCAGTGTGGAATCCCTCCTTACAATGGTGGTCAGTGTAGAATCTCTCCTTACATTTGTGGTCAGTGTGGAATCCCTCCTTACATTGGTGGTCAGTGTGGAATCTCTCCTTACATAGGTGGTCAGTGTGGAATCCCTCCTTACAATAGTGCTCAGGGTAGAATCCCTCCTTACATTGGTGGTCAGTGTGGAATCCCTCCTTACAATGGTGGTCAGTGTAGAATCCCTCCTTACATTGGTGGTCAGTGTGGAATTCCCCCTTACATTGGTGGTCAGTGTGGAATTCCCCCTTACATTGGTAGTCAGTGTGGAATTCCCCCTTACAAAGCTAGCCGAAGGATCAGTCGGTGCTCCGTAGCTATGAGAATAAGCTGAACAGCAGCGAGTAGCCTGCCGGAGGTTCGGCTCAGCCGATCCAGATGTTGGATTGGCTGAGTGGAACCACTTCTGCACTTCGGGTCGGCCGAACGTTCTGAACATGTTCGGCTGACCCGAAGTTAGCCAAAGCAAGCCGATGTACGGCTGATTTCAGCCGATATACAGCTGAAATCAGCTGTGCAAGCCTGAAGGGAACAGCCGAACAGCATTCGGCTCACTTCACTTCGGGTCGGTAACTTTTTGCTTAGCTTACTGTGGAATCTCTCCTTACATTGGTGGTCAGTGTGGAATCCCTCCTTACAATAGTGGTCAGGGTAGAATCCCTCCTTACATTGGGGGTCAGTGTGGAATCCCTCCTTACAATGGTGGTCAGTGTAGAATCCCTCCTTACATTGGTGGTCAGTGTGGAATTCCCCCTTACATTGGTAGTCAGTGTGGAATTCCCCCTTACATTGGTAGTCAGTGTGGAATTCCCCCTTACATTGGTGGTCAGTGTGGAATTCCCCCTTACATTGGTGGTCAGTGTGGAATTCCCCCTTGCAATGGTGGTCAGTGTGGAATTCCCCCTTACAATGGTGGTCAGTGTGGAATTCCCCCTTACATTGGTGGTCAGTGTGGAATCCCTCCTTACATGTGTGGTCAGTGTGAAATCCCTCCTTACGATGGTGGTCAGTGTAGAATCCCTCCTTACATTGGTGGTCAGTGTAGAATCCCTCCTTAAATTGGTGGTCAGTGTGGAATTCCCCCTTACATTGATGGTCAGTATAGAATTCCCCATTTCATACATGCAAATGATTTAAAAGATTTCCACCTTTGCTCTACATGATCCAGAATTCACCACAGTGTTTAGTTTTAGTGCACAGAATTTTTGCCACCTAAAAAAATCAGCAGCCAGAACAGGAGTTGCAGTATATGAATACCTAAACAGTGACTGCATCTGATTGGAGGCAGTTACTGTTTCACCGACAATCTTCCACCCTCTCATTTTATTATGAAATCCAACTTTTGTCAAGCTGGGTATCACCTGCAGGGCCACCCATGGTTAAAATTGTGGCAAATTCAGCAGGAATCAGCTAAAATTTGAGTTGTGTTTGGCCAGCTTAAATGTTGTAGCTGGCTAAATAAATACATGGACAATTTTACTAATAAACAAAACCTTCTTGGCTATATTTCTATCCTTATTATGGTAAATCTTCCTGCACATACAGTATTTTAAAATTAAATTGTACAGCAGGTTAACCAAATACCTCTTGTAGAACTACACCCATTTTAAATGAATTCCACATCCCTAATTAAAGTACATTCTCACTTTACATGTCTTGCTGGACGCAGAGCAAAAAGGTGTCCCTTGAAATGATACATACTGTATCTCTACTTATAATTAGATGTTACATTTTAGGGACTTTACATGTATGTGTGTGTCATTCTGTTTTAAGTGTCGAGAGGTGGGTTTGTCCCAAAGAGCGTATTCATTCACAATTGCGCCAAAGTTGTTTAAGGTATAAATCCAGTTAAGAACTGCCAGGGCCCAAAGCCCCCACACTGGGTGCACTAGGTGCTGCCTTAGAGGTCAAAGCTCATATTAGCCTTGTACACCTGGAATATCCATTACCCAGTATGGCAGCTCCCAAAGCATGCTGAGGTCTCAAAGTACAGGCAACACAAGCTTGGGGATGCCAAAGCTCATAAACTCTGTGGGGTTGATTTAGCTGTTCATTTTGCAGGGGAATTTTCCTTTAGCTTAGTGAATGAAGTGAAACGCTGCTGACCTTTTATCATCTAAACATGTGCAAGCAAAAATACTGTTTTTTTTAATTTTCCCTGCACTTGATTGGGTATTCTTTGCAAAGTGAATTTTCACCATATACACTACCTGGTGCTAAGGGGGTTATTCACAAAGCTAGCCGAAGGATCAGTCGGTGCTCCGTAGCTATGAGAATAAGCTGAACAGCAGCGAGTAGCCTGCCGGAGGTTCGGCTCAGCCGATCCAGATGTTGGATTGGCTGAGTGGAACCACTTCTGCACTTCGGGTCGGCCGAACGTTCTGAGCATGTTCGGCTGACCCGAAGTTAGCCAAAGCAAACCGATGTACGGCTGATTTCAGCCGATATACAGCTGAAATCAGCTGTGCAAGCCTGAAGTGAACAGCTGAACAGCATTCGGCTCACTTCACTTCGGGTCGGTAACTTTTTGCTTAGCTTAGGGGGTTACACACAGGCAGCTGTGTGAATAACTCCCTAAGCTAAGGAAAAAGTTATTTGTAAAATGCAAATTCACTTGTAAACTGTACTGTGCCTATTTACCTTTATTCAGTAAATCAACTCCTACTTGTCCCTGGACATGTTAACTAGACATGTGCGATTCGTTTAGTTCCGAATCGAAATTCGGACGAATTTTCGGAAATTCGGATATTCGGATGTATCCGAATTCCGAATTACAGACATGTAATCCGAATTTCCATTTCCGAAATTCGGTAGCGTTAGTACGAACGTTCGTTTCGTTTTCTGTTCTTATTCGTTTCGTTCGTTGGAGCAAAGTGACATTAGAGAAGGAGAAAAATATTTTTCCCCCCTCAAATGTCACTTTTGCTGCAAACGAACAAATAAGATACGAATAAGATACGAATAAGAACAGAAAACGAAACGAACGTTCGTACTAACGCTACCGAATTTCGTCCGAATCCGAATTGACTTTCACACCCGAATCCTGAAAAACGAAATAACACAAATCCGAATTTAAAACGAAACGAAACTAAACAAATTTTTTGGCAGTGCACATGTCTAATGTTAATCATATGCCTGCATCTCATGTAAGATTTGTATACCTATATGGGATGAGCATAAAATGGGAGGTAGGAGGCACTGAGAATTACACTTATCATTCAAATATGTTCTTTCAGTACATCTGTAATGTATAGCTACCGTTTCTAAACAAAGGTGTTGGTGAAACATTTTTTCCTAATATAATTCCATCTTATATTGCACTTTGTATTGTAGATGTAATATCACTGTTTACACTTATAGCTGGCACTTTGAACTATGAACTTTGCTTTGTAATAAAATATATACAGTTTAGCTGGTATGTGCAAACATAGATTTGTTGAAATGGAAGGGTAAATGTAAAATAAACATAGGATGCACTGTTTTACTTTTTCTAAGCACTCGCTCCTTTATGTTCACTTTCAAACTTATAAAAATTACACAATATTATTTACATGGAGGACTGAACATTGCCCTGCAAATCTCTGTGAATGTTCATTATGTGAGAATAGAGGCAAAAATGAAGGTTTTTAGTCGGGATGTTCAGATACCAGTGCCGATACTTGGCATTTTCATTAGAACTACCAGGTTTGCAGCGGTTGCAGCTGGGACCTAGCTCTGGCGCTCCACCACTGTCCTGAAATCATTAGTCTGAACTGTTACATGGCAGTAAACAAAAATGTATCAGTACTTTTACTTGAAAAAATTGTATCGGTACATTCTATATATATATTTATTTAAAAAATCATACATTAAAACAGAGATGTACAAATCCCATGAGCCCTGTATGATCCTTAAAAATGACAGCTACATCCTAACGCTTGAATTTTTCTCTAGTCTAGTCCTGGAGCTGGAAAAGTATCTGTACATGTACTTGTAATTTTAGCGAGTAAAGTACTTGGTATCTGAACATCCATATTTTTTTCAGGTTGAATGTAATGTAACAGCTCATTATGGCCATTAGATGGGGAAAGGGAGAATAGACAATAAATACTTATTTCCAATGCTCCTCAGCATCATCTAGTGGCCATAATGAGCTGTTACATTACATTCAACTTAAAAAGAAAATATACTATGCTCGTTTTTTTGCCTTAATTTATACAGAACGAATGATCATGTGAGATGCGTAGGGGCGAATGGCTCTGCTAAATTGTTTATCAATAGACTCCTAGATGTTAAGTGGGAATACAAGAAACCTTAAACATATATAGAAATAAAATTTTTGGTTTTAGAACAGTCTATATTTAATGTAATCCAATTTTCCTTTTACAGATTGAAGAATTCAGGAGACTAAGAATGCATGTAAAGGGGGCAGATCTGGAAGATGAAAGTGATGGAATACTGGCTGATAACTTTAGACCCACTCAGCCTCTTAGTGACAGGATTATTCGAGCAGCCTTCCAGTAAACTGGGGCAGATACTTGTAAGTATCCTTTTCTCAAAGACCCATATTTATTGTTTTTTTACATCTGACGCCCTTACAAATATTGGTTGCCATGGCTCTTGCTGATCTTTTCAGAGCCAGTCAGTTTATCCTTTTCCTGTTTAAACTTTTCTTGGATGGTTGAGGGAAAACACAGATGATTTTTTTTGTTAGACACAAACAGGGTTATTAACAAAAGGGTGAAGAGTTTGGAGAAGGCAGGAGAAGTGAACAATCTAGGACAACATAGCTGAACTGGAAAGTGAGCTAAATTGGTGAATTTTTTCAAATCAGCTATTTTGGCCTAGATTGGTCACTTCTCCTGCCTTCTCCAAACGCTTCACCCTTTTGTGAAAAACCCTGATAATATATGAGGCCTGTTTGTACCAACCACCTCCATTGCATTCAAGCCAGCTTCACACATACATGCATGAATGTGATTTAATTCTGGTTACTGGAACACACATCAATCCACGTACTTCAGTTTATATGGCACCCCAGTGCACTTAGCTAACCCATTGTGGTGTACTCCCTTGAATAAAATAGTCCAGGCACAATTTGTGGTCTATAGTGATGTGTTAGAAGCCCTTAACGTAATGCATGTCAACATGCAAGATGACAACCGTTAGCATACCACATCAGACCGCACTGTATCAGACCCACACCTTCCTAGTGCACCCCCACTACTTCATTCAGCTGCTGAGAGTGTAAGGAAAGTGGTGGGTACTGCCACTTAGAGGATGCCAACAGTCTCTTGAATGTATTGTTTTTTTTCAGCTGACTCCACATGCTACCTGGTGCTAAGGGGGTTATTCACAAAGCTAGCCGAAGGATCAGCCGGTGCTCCGTAGCTATGAGAATAAGCCGAACAGCAGCGAGTAGCCTGCCAGGTTCTATTGCTGCAATGTAGTGGAGGTGTGTGCTGTATATATGTAGTACATATACAGTACACACGTCCAGTACACTATAGCAATAGATTTACAGCCAGCCCCGTCCCAGCTTCCGTCACTCACAGTTTCACTCCGATCCCTGTTGCCTCACACGGTGCCTCTCGTAGTCGGCACTGAGCAGGATCGCTGCATCGCGTCTCGGTGCTCAGCTTGTGGGAGGCGCTCACAATTCTACCCTGCTAACATGAATAGGTTAAATCATGACCCATAGTACATATACAGCACACACGTCCAGTACACTGCATTAATAGAGTTACAATTATCCCCTGCTAACATGAATAGGTTAAATCATGATCCATAGTACATAATATGTACATAACATGTAGTTGTACTACGGATCATTTAACCTGTTCATGTTAGCAGGGGATCATTGTAAATCTATTGCTGCAGTGTATTGGGAATATGTACATGTACTATGTACTACATATAGAATACACTGCAGCAATAGATTCACAATGATCTCCTGCTAACATGAATAGGTTAAATGATCCATAGTACATAATAGTTGTACTATGGAACATTTAACCTATTCATGTTAGCAGTGCAGAATTGTAAATCTATTTATTACTGCAGAGTATTCTATATGTACTGTATATATGTACTACATATAGAATGCACTGCAGCAATAGATTTACAATTCCGACCTGCTAATCTGAATAGATTAAATGATCTGTAGTACAACTACATGTTATGTACATATTATGTATTATGGATCATTTAATCCATTCAGATTAGCAGTTTAGAATTGTGAATCTATTGCTGCAGTGTATTGCGAATATGTACTGTACATGTGCAGTACATATAGAATACACTGCAGCAATAGATTCTTGTTGTTCACACAAAACACTAAGCCCAGGCCCCATCTCACTTACTGTTGCCTCGATCATGGTGCCTCACGATGTGCCGAACGATTTTCCTCACATGTGAGGACGTCGGCGGCGCTGAGCTGAAGAGGAGCATCATGTCACTGCTCCAATGGGCGGCGCTCCAGGTGGGGTCCTAATTTAGGTGGCCGGCGACTGCCCAGAGGACCGGCCACCTAAATTAGTACCCCACCTGGAGCGCGCCCACCAGAGCAGCAGTTACGCGACGCTCGGCGCGGCAGGTAAAGGAAAAAAATATAGCGCAAGCTTCGGCGCTATGTATCAGGGCATTTTGACATGTACAGGTACTTGTCAAAATTGCCTGTTTCGGTCCCGATACAAATTTTTGTATTGGGACATCCCTAAATGTCACTTTAAGACCCAAGAAGTAGTTAGGGAAGCTTCAGAGAGGCAGGTGGTTACAATGTCGAGGACCTTGGGCACCCAACAGAAGATGCGGGTGCCCAGTGCTAGGGATGCCTCACCCACCTATCTGTGGTGTCTGGCAGACTGTTTAAATCTCAGGACTGGATGGACAGAAACATAAATGATTTTTCATGTAAAACAGCTACCATGTATGGTAACAGCTACGATTCAACTGTATAGTGAGCTTTTTGTCTGAAGCCTGGCTTTATCACTCAGGTGCATTTGAATCAATATGAATGCTTGGATCCTGTTGGAAAATGGTGTAGTCAGAGATTGTTAAAACATGAAAGGGTTCCTGCCTTTTCATTATTTCTCTACTACTGTATTTTATATTGACTTTAGCCACTTATAATTTCTTCCTGCTTTTTTCATTTCAGGAAAGCATATGACTACCGTGCCAGAAATGTTGGTGCTTTATCCATGGATATGATGTGTTACTTGTTAGAAGTCTAGTCTGCAGAGACTTTGTAATATCAGGGGTGAAGATGTCATATGTTTTACATCTGGAGAAAGTCTAATACACTATCACACTGGCTTTGTGAAACTTTTCTTTATAAAGAAGTGAAGGGTTATTGCTTAGCTTAAGGAGAACTTCAGGCAATAGAACAATCTTCAGTAAACTTACATGATATCCAGTATGAGCACTCAGTGTCCTTTGTTTTAAACATGAATGCCAGAGTTCTTTTATCAACATTTTAGACTCCAGTTCCCATCTGCTATACTAATTACTATTGTTGAATTTGGGTGTGTGCTATTTGCATCAGATCACACAACAGCAGTAGCAGCCTGGTTATCAGGATACAAAGTAACAGGTTAGGTCAATTTTTTAAGTTGTCCCCTTAATAGTAAAACAATTGTGGATCATAAATAAGCAGAATGTCCCATGACCTATCTATTAATACATGTTGTAGTTCTCTTTTGATAGTTTTAAATTTTAGGTACTTTTTTTAAAGTAATTGTATTTTTAATGATTTTATCTTTATTCGGACTATAAATTCTCCAGTGTTTGTCAAACGTCCACCCTCAAGGTGCCACAATAAACTGTAGTAGCAGATATTGATCAGAACTATATGTTGATGGTGTAGTGATATAGTCATTCTAGTTATTTGCAGGATGATTGTAAAATGATTAAACTCAGCTGTAAAAGTCATAAACAAAGGTGGAACTGATCCACGTGACCATAGGGGCAATGGGTAATTATTCACATTTTACAACAGACGACAGAAGGTTCGGCTATACAACAGCAGCTACATGAATCAACCCTTTGATCAACAACTCTTTCTGAAAACCTATAGAAATACTATTTCCTGCAAAGCACAGTCACTGGGGGTTGCTATTGTTTGCTGGCTCAGTCAATGACGTCCATTAAATACTTATATTGTAATATTCATGTGCTTTTCTTTTTTAATTTGTTGTGTAGCAGTACATGAAGTTCATGAACATTTGGTAATCAGCTAAGGCCAAGCCAAACACACTGTATAAAAACTAAACTGTTTTGTTGATTTTTAATCATCAGTGTAATCACATGTACACATGTACAAGTGTGTCAGGGTACCGTGCGCGGGTGTCCCCACACCGCATGCAGGTACCCACGCAGGAGGACCAAATTAGTATGACCACACTAGACAAAGTTTATAAGCACACCATTTATTAAACACACCAAAACCATAAAAACACAAGACAACCCCACCAACACCCACAAGTGTCAAACAATAACCCAGTAAATGCAAAACAACAAACCCACATACAAAAGAGCAAGTGAAACCTGGAGAGCATGGCAACATGAGGGGGACTCAGGAAATGGCGACAATACTGAGCCAAAGTCCTGACTGCAGGGAGGGATTAAATACCCTCCCAGGTATCACCAGGTGGTGAGCACTGGAGTTGCAGGTTCCAGCACCACCCAGTGGTGGTCTGGTATCTGACCGCTCTGGGCTGCCTGGAAACACCTGCAGGTGAGCGCAGCAACCGCAGGACTTAGTTCCAGCACCACCTGGAGGTGCTATGGTTCCTGACAAAGTGTAAAAAAAATTAAATATCTGATTTTTCAAAAATGACATGTTCTGGTAACAACTGTCTAAGAAGTTGCTTTCTTGCACTGTTTGGAGAGATTTTATTTTACTTTTGTGTCTCCATAACAGGAAGTAGGGATGAGCTCAGGTTTGGATCGAACCCGATCCTAACCTGAGTTGCTCCATACCGAGAAGGAGCTCCTCCCGTACATGGAAGGAAGCTCCTTTCATGCCACCCACTTGGCTGCTGGTGTGGAATTCCCCATCTGAAGCTTGATGTAAGCATATCAGCAAAATACAGTGATGTCATTGACCATTTTATGGCTATATGCCTATGTTTGGTAAATTATATTTGCCTAATATGGCTATGTGGCCATATTAGGAAAATTACATCAAGAAAAGCTTCCTGCTCCTTTGTTTACATGCAGCTGTGGGGCAGGGATTGCCAGTGCCACAGTTGATTGGGTGGAAGTGCCCATGGCACTTCCTTGTTTGGAGGAGCTCAGGTTTGGACTGGATTTAGTCTGAACATGCACTCATCTCTAACAGGAAGTAAAGAGAAATTAGGAGAAAAGAGTAAAGGGAAAGTAAGAGTACAGAGAAAGTAAGTGAAAAGCTGACAGGAGTTATAACTGCTTCCTACAGCGCCCAAAACTAAAGAAAAAAAAATACTGTCTAGAGATACACATTAATACTTCATCTTTTTTGGGACTTACACATTTTGAGAGTTATCTTCAATAATCCGTGATTGTTTTTAGTTTGTGCATTTAGAAAATTAAGCAAAACAGTCCTGAATTTATGTTTCTTTGTTATAAATATTAGTTTAAATGTGGATGTTTGTTTCACTATGTCTTAATTTAAAAGACTATAGAAAGTTTTTGTTTATTTAAACCTGCTTAAGTGTGAGATTTATTTAGAATTAGACTTTTGTGGATACTAATGTAATTATATTAGTGTAATTAATGTTTATTTTGACTTCTGTATTTAGTACAAAAGTTATTTTGTAAAAAATGTTATAGATTTTGTACTTAAGAATACATTTTTGTCACATGTAGCATATAGGTGTTTTGTATTCAGTTTTAGTTTACTTTTGATCCTCACTCTTTTTTCATGCCTTTCACATCAGCCATCGTAAGGGTCAGACCACCAAAATGTGATATATCAGATTAGCAGAGCCTGTTGGAATAAACCCCACTGCAGTCAAAATTTAGCAAAATTGACCATTAAACCTGGAGATGCATACAGGTAGCACTTCCAGGCACTGATGCAGTGCATCAATCCATCCCACCCCCTTTGTCGCTATCTGCTGATTTGAGAACCCCTGCCTGTGATGCAGGACAGAATTCTTTAAAGGGCCATACAACAGTAAATTTCATTCAAAAAGTCTGAAGTTTTTAACACTAACCTGTCTTGGAAGGTAAACTATCAGTTTTTGGTGGACTGACCATTTTAGGATATGTACAGGTATGGACATTTATAGCAATATTTGTGAATGTTACTAGTACCTTTTAATGTACTTGTCCAAAAACATTATTGTGACCTTATTATTTTGGGAACCATGATAGTCAGATATCTTCAGCAGACCTTCTGCCTTTGTCTCTTGAAACATTCATTACAAAACCAATAAAGGGTGTGATGGTGGTTTATCTGAATTAATTAAATTGTGTAAAATCTGTAAAATTAAAATTAATCCAGCCGCTATTGGGCCTCAAAGGATATGTGCACATTAAAATAAAAGTTCTATGAATCCAGCCACTTGCCTTGCTTTTTACAACCTTAAAGCTCCATCTCATGCATGATCCCCCTACCATCCTTTCCACCCAAGCAGTGATGTAAAAAGAACCATCACACTCTGGTACAGGAAGAGAAGAAGACTTGAAACCTGACAAGCCTTTTGACCACAGGTTTACGTAAGCAGAAGGGACTTTTGGGTAGATGTTTTGAGCCGCCACTTAGAGTGGGTGGGTAAATCTTCCCAGAGCTGCTTAAAAAGATCTGCCTTTGCCAGTATGGCCATAATGGTTAGTGTGATCTTTCCACTGTGTATCTCGTTGTATTATGTGCATGGCACCAGCATGGTTGGTCAGAGTAGATGTGTTTTGGCTGCAGGATGTAAACAAGCAGGGGTAGTCAGAACTCCCTGCATCTGCATCTGCGGTCTGTTAGTATTTCTAAAGTTTTGATGAGGAAACTGAGTAGGAGATGCATGAGGGACCTTCATTTTAAAGTGCCTCTATCCTTTAAGAACAATACTTTGTACCGTAAATATACTTTAACAGTTTCCAATTCCTAACTTAAAATTGTGCTGTACAATACAAATAAACATCCCCCTATGGTATTTTCCTTTGAATTGTTACATGGGTGTAATTATCATTAGAAATCCCCAAAGTATTTACTTTTAATTGAAAATAGGGCACATACATTTATTAAATTGTTTTATGTTTATTAAACCTTTCAGGTTGCTGAAATAATATTGGGTTATTCTCAAGAGGAAATTCCCACAGTGCAGTGCAGTATTTTATCTTTTCCTGTTCCATGAAAAGGTTTACAGACACAATCCATGAATCTGTTAGCATTCCTTTTGTTATTTTGGTGTTATCAGAATCATATTTTATATTTTTTATTATATGGCTCCAATAAACACTTAAAGCCTTCACCCAAGGAAATAGTTATAAAAAATAAAACACAGACTATAGATTAAGTATAGAAGATGTAATCTAAACCCACACAGCTGTACAAAGTCTAATTTTCATCTAGTACTATTAGTATTCAAGGGTTTCAGTAACCATTGCCTTTGTGATAATGATTGTAAAAAAACAAGTATATCTAAAAAAAAAAGCTGAACTGGTATGCTGGACATTTTTGTTGTTTGAGAGTATAAGGCCAATGCATTTTTCCTTGTGAATAGAGTAGTAGATAAAAATTATAATTTCTCTATTTAGGCTTTTACCAGAACAGGAGAAAACAATCATCGTGAAAAGTTATGTGTTTAAAAATTGAGTGGAAAGGAATCTATCAATCTTTTTGTGTAAGGTACTCTGGGGTTATGCTGAGAATAAATAAATGTCAGTGTTTTCATCATGTGGGACAATCATAGTATTTTATAGGTGACTATACACAGAGAGATTTGATCATTAAAATTAACAAGTATCAGACGATCTTTCACCATTTGCAAACTACCACTATACAATGCACGTCCGGAGATCTGAGCATTACTATATAAAAAGCAGGTTATATCTCTATCCATCTCTGCTTTACCAGCAGAGACATAGAATATTGAATTCATCTTTCCAAAATAAAGTATAAAAAAAGATTTTTGCATTCTCCATACATGGGAAGATTGTTGCATACCTGCAGAAAATATTAATATCAGTTGTGTTGCCTAAGATACTGGGAGTATATTGTTGTGATACATGCCAGTGATACAAGCCAGTCTAAAAAGTATATTGTTGTGATACAAGACTGAAATTAAGCTTTTGTGCAGTGGAAGGCACATGTTGCCAGAAATTTCAGCCAGTGAAATTTCATGCAAAGATCCAACAATTCTATGTAAAGGTGATCCATTTTAGTGCAATGGGGATGGAAGCTCAAACTTCATCTGAATAGGTAAATCCAAGAGTGACTGCAAATTTAGCACTCTTAGTTGCACCACTACCAGAATTAGATGGCCAACCATTAAGGCAAAAAAGTTGGCTGCCCATCTCATGATCAGATGACTGACCTGTAACAGATTTGTCTGTACAAAGCATAGGGCCAAATCTGACCTGTACAGGTGATACATATTGGAGATAA